ACAGAAATGTGGTCAATGCACTTCCTCAGTTAAAGTGTTCAGTGACCCCAAAGCCACCTGGATCATCTAGATCCTGCCTGCCTCTGTCATCATCACTCACCCACCTCCCTTCATTAGGTAGAGCTTCATCCAGACAAAGTGGGAGAGTCTAGGATCCAGAACTTTTCCAGGGCCTAATGTTGTGTCCGGGCACAGAAAGCCCTTCATCTGGCTGAGTCCTATTTCCTTTCTAGGAAGATTTCCTAAACCTTCTAAAGCTGTGTTAGTGCACATACCTCTTCACTTTGTTCTTCTACAAACCCCATGCAGACCTCCTCACAGCTCTGCATTGTAATCGTCTGTCTCCCCAGCAGAATTCTGAACACTTTACCTCTAATAACTTACAACAACTTTATGAGGTGGATACTATTATTACTGCCATTTTACAAATGAGGAAACTGAGACACAGAGAGGTTAATTAACTTGTCCAAGGACACAGATTGGCAGTATGGGGATCCAAACCCAAACAGTGAGGTCCCGGGTACATGTCTGTAACCACTATGCAGACTGCTTCTTATTCATTGTTGTAACTCTAGTACAGAGCCTGGCAGTACTAGGCTCTAGGAATTTAAGAACTAGTGATTAAGTGATTTTTGTTGATCTCCATGAAGGTCTGTATAATTTACCATTCAATATATATTAGGTTCCTATTTCTAAGGGTGCCTGTGAGAGTGATTTGAAATGATCAAATGAAAATGTTCTTTAATACATTCATTAATTCTCAAACACTTTCTCAGCACTTACTAATAATATGTCCAGGTACTGTGCTTAGTGTTGGAGATAGAAAATAAACGACAGAGCCTCATGCCGCTAAGAGTTCATAGTGGGGAGAGTTCCAAGGCTCATGTAAAAAAATAGAAATGACAGATCATCACTTTTCCGTTCCTCTCTGTTCCTAAAGCCTTCATGTATTGTTTATATCTGCCTTCTAAAAAGATTTCTGGCCAGGATATACTTTCTCAACCGGTGCTCCTGAGAAGGGTCTGCCGGAAGCTCCCTGTAGGTAACAAGGGGAGCTGCTGTGGAAGGTAAAATGGTCTAAGTGCTAAGTGCTAGGTCTGCAGATCTGAACACCAAATCTTGGAGAGCTTGACCGGAAACTGTTCCTTGGACTGCAGCCTCAGCAAAGAGCCAGTGCTGCCATCTGCTGGCCAGAGAGAAGCTGCACTTACATCAATCTCTGTTGCTGGGACACAGAATCACAGCCTCATGGAGAGGAAGGAGACCTTATTTTACAGATGAGGAAACTGATAAAAAGGGACTTCCCAAGGTCACATAACTTATTTGTGGCATAGTCAGGACAGGAAACCAAATTCAAGGTGCTTTAAAACCTGATGTATGTTCTTCTGGATTCAGAGACGGGGAACGCCAGTTTTTTAAATTTGCAGCTTCCGGCTTTCCCCACCTCTTGCTCTGTCCCCACTTTCATACATCAGTCCTTGGGGAATTACATCCCTGCACTGTCTACCTCTTCCAGCCTTGCCAAGTTTTTGCTTTCGCTTGGTTACAAGCCAATAAAGTAATACGAAAGAGGCTTTAGAAGTCTTGCAGGATGACTGAAGGCTGGCTGGGCACCCCAGCTTTTCTCTGGAGGATTTCATCTCCTTGGGTGCTACTAATTTGCATGGAAGCCCTGAAAATCTTAAAAAGTAAAGATTTCACTTTGAGGACTAAGGTGTGCCTGACCCAAGCCATAGTATTTGCAGTTGCCCCATATGCATGTGAAAGCTGGACAATGAATAAGGAAGACAAAAGAAGAATTGACACATTCGAACTGTGGTGTTGGCAAAGAATATTGAAGATACTATGGACTGCCAAAAGAAAAACGAATCTGTCTTGAAGGAAGTACAGCCAGAATGCTCCTTAGAAGCAAGAATGGAGAGACTTTGTCTGGCTTACTTTGGACACATCAAGAGGGACCAATTGCTGGAGAAGGACATCATGCTTGGTAAAGTAGAGGGTCAGTGAAAAAGAGGGAGACCCTCAATGAGATGGATTGACACAACAGCCACAGCAGTGGGCTCAAACATAGCAACAATTGTGAGGATGGTGCAGGACTGGACAACGTTTTGTTCTGTTATACATAAGGTTGCTATGAGTCAGAGCTGACTGGAGGACACCTAACAACAACAATAGTTTATTCCTCAGTCCACTACACTGTTATCATTTTACTGCACTGAAACTTTTATTACTAAAGGTACATCAGTGACTTCCACTTTTCAATTATTTCTGTACCAGTATGGATCCAGTCAAGAGACAGAAACTTCACCAACTGTTTAAACGGATAAAATTTATGTTAACTAGGTATTGAAGAACTGAAAGGCAAAAAAAGTATCATGGAAGTAGCAACTACAGGAAGCAGCTACCACCTTAGGGTTGGAGAACAAAGTGCAGAGATTGGAATTATTAAAACTTAGAGCTTGGAAGAGGGACCCAATGAGGCTGAGACCCAGACTTCTGTGGAGCAGGCCCTTGCTGAGTGTTGGAAAAATTGCAAACTGGAATCAACTGCTGTTACTGGAGTGAATCAATGCTGCCAGGTTGAGAAGCATTGCCAGGGTAAGGCTAACAGGTTATTATTGTTGTGTGCTGTCGAGTCGATTTCAACTCATAATGACCCTATAGGACAGAGTAGAACTGCCCCATGGGGTTTACTAGGCTGTAATCTTTATGGGAGCAGATGGCCAGGTCTTTTCTCCCATGGAACCGCTGGTGGGTTTGAACCACCAACCTGTTGGTTAGCAGTCAAGCGAGCAGGAAGCAAAAAAACAGGAACAGGAAGCAGACTCTCTCCCTCTGATGCCTTGGCAGAGCCTGACAGGGAGCAGCTGGCAAAGCAGAAATGGGCTTTGCAGAATCTCAGCCCCTGCATCACAGCTGAATAGAAGAGTGGGTTTGAAGCTGAGAAACTGGCACACTTTCCCTCACTGATCACTTTATAGCACTTGACACTTTTAACTCTCTTCTTTGGACTCTTTTCCCTGGGCCACCACCATACCACACTCTTGACTGCTTTTCTCTAGAACAGAGAACTCCGTTTAGTCTCTGTGGTGTCTCCCCCAGGATAATCCTCGCCCCTTTTCTCTGCTTACTCTGTACACCTGCTCTGTATGATCACAACCATTCTCATTGCATCTGCTACATCTTATATATTGCTGATTACCAAATCTCTCAAACTCCAGACTCATACCCAGCTGTTTGTTAGCTGTCTCCACTTAGATGCTTCATACGTACCTTAACTTTAAAATTCTTTACTTGAAATGCAATTTCTATAGCATATTAGGCCTTTCGTGATCAGAGTCTCATTAATTACAAACCTTTACATGTAGACTGTGCTAACCTATTAGTTTTCTAAACATGTCTTGCTCTTTCTCATCCTCTTGCCTTTTCCTTCTGTGTCTTCTACTTGGAATACAGCTCCCACTCAACTTTCTATAATCCTGGCTCTGGTATTTCTTCCTGCCCTTTCGATCTTGACTGTGCTTATTCCATCATTCTTGCTCCATCTTCCCCTATTTAAGACAGAAGGGGCGAGGTTTTCTGATGATTTGCAGAAGCCCAGACTGAGAGGCAGCAGAGTGGAGTAGAATGTGCTTAGACAAGGGGAGAAGATTTTTGGGTTTGGGCCCCAGTTCACCACTTAACTAGCCAGGTGACTTCAGGCAAAGCACTGCACCTGCCATTCTACCCCTCAGGGTTGCAGGGAAAACATGAGAGTGGGCTCCAAAACTCTTTGTAGCTGTAAGGAGTTGTGCAAATGTAAGGAACTGTTACGATTAAGGCATTAGATTATGACAGTGTAATCAAAATGACATAAGTTTCAGAAGTGGTTCTGCTCAGTCTTCTGGGATGTATGCGTTTTATTTGTGCTACTCTTTCCACCATATTCTGTATGCTTTGTACACACCTCTATTAAAATTACAATGGGATGTGCTAAGTGAGGTTTACTTGTGTATCTGTTTCCTCTGTTGGATGTATGAGTTTGCTGACGTCAGTCAAGGTTCGTGTCTTTCATGTCTTTGTATCTGTCTCCAGTGCTTAATCAGTGCTTGGTACATGGTAATTACTAGTCAGAAAATCTTAGTTGAATGAGTTAATAAGTGAATGGATAAGATGGATGATGTACAAGATCATGAAGGCAATTAAGAAGTAAAGAATTTCAGTGTAGCTCCATGGTACTAAGTATGTAGCTTCTAGGGTGACAATTTTGAAGAGGACAATACCTGTCTGAAGTTTAATATTTGATATGTTTGTTTTTAAAATCAGCCATCTGTCTAATAATACTAATTTGCTTTTACTTGTGTGGCACTTTGTCATTTTCAGTGCTATTTTGCCTTCATTATTTTATTCTATACTCACAAGCATGCAATGAAGTAGGGAGGTAAGGTGATGAGCCCACAGGATTAAGTGTAGTTGTGGCAGAGCTCATGTTACAACTAATGCTCTGTCTGGCTCCCACACGCCAGGCCACCAGTTGAACCTCTGTGTTTCACGTCATGATATCAACTGGGACTGTCCAGTATCCTTTGTGGAAATCAGTTATGTTATGAAGAGGAAAAATACACAGCCTTGCCTTTCCATCTGGGAAACGAAGATGAATGCTATTACTTTCTTAAATATAAAAAATATATAAACTTTAGCCGCGTAAGAGGTACCCACATCAAAATTACTCATATTTCAACTTAAAAAAATTATTGCAGAGTTATTTGATGCATGTGGTTAGAGAAGTTAGGACATCACCTGACTTTGGAAGCCGCATGAGACACTATGAAATGTGTCTTTTCAAACCACAAACTTCTTGAATGCAAAGACAGTGTTTTACTCATGTCTAGTGTCTAAACCATGAGAAAGTTTGCTGTTTATAAATATGCAAAACATTTCACAACTGGACATTTAAAAAACAAAACGTTTTAGTTTAATACATTAACTAGAAATGTATCTGTTGTAACATGTATCATCTTGACATTAATGTTTTCCATATGATACACATTTGCATGGGCTGGAACGAACAGGCCAAGCTATAACAACATGAAAGGGAAAGGTAATTGGTGTAAAGTTAGGAGAAAAAAAAGCAAAACACAGCCACCAGTTTTTGATCCTCCAGAAAGAGAAGAAACCAACGTGTCTTGTTCTGTGTGTAGAACAGAAGACAGTATGTAGGAACCTGGAGAGTGCCGGCTACAGAGAAAGGTTAATAATGGATAATTACAGGAGGATGATGATCTTACTAAAATCTTTGTTCTGTTTCATGTAATGTTAAAAAGGGTTGTCCAAAATATTAACTCTCATCAGGAATTTGTTCTTATGAATGTCCTGTATGTTTACCTTGCCCGATACGATTTTTTCCCACGAGGGGAGACTCAAGATTGTTTGCAGCCATTGGTCTTCTGCTGACTCAGAGCTCAAGTACCACCATTCCTGAGAAGAGGTAAAGAGTACAAAGCATTAATTAGTGCTTCTTGACTCATGTGATCAAGACTGGTCCAATACCACGGGCTAAATTGTCCTTGAGCTTTCAAAACCATGTGAACCCATAGATAAATAGTGAATTTTGCTCCCCAGATTAGGGTACTGACACATATTCTTTAAATAAACACAGGATTGTACATTCTTTCACTTATTCAACAAATACTGAGTGTAAAAGCAGTGTGCTAGGTACTAAGTGTGCTCACATTCTTAAGGGGAGAAAAGACATGCAAACAAATGTAAAAGTGGAAAGTGGTAAGGGCCACAAGAGGGGGCACGAATTTGGAGGAGGGGAAGATTCCATGATAACCCAGAGGCTCATCTACTGGAACTATGAAGAAGTCACCTCTTTCAGTGAGAGCCCAGAATGACTTGTGATGACCTTCCATGCTTGGGGAAACCTAACTACGCAGTAGGTTTCTGGGGCTTCCGTGGTAGAGTGAGTACCCCCTACTCCAGCTTGCTAGCTAATGATACATACTTTGCTCATGTTCAGCCAGCATTTCTCCAGCAGATTCCCTTGGATTTCAGAGAGCTGTAGGGCTGTGTTCAGGAAGAAGTCACAGTTCTCCCCATCTCCCATGAGTATACAGACATAGGCCATTAGGTGGTAAAGCCTCGGGTAGAAGACAGGGCCAGTGGTATTTTGAGCCACCAGACTCTGCAAGTTCTGTTTTTCCAAAGAAAAAAACAGTGTATCTGAATCAGAAAGTGGTCATTGATTGCAAAGTTATTTTCTCCACAAATAATTTGGAAACATTTCAAGGGTATAATCAATTAAAGTATGTTTCAGAGACATACATAGAAAGTAGGGGAGATAAAAGATTATAAATGTCATGTGGAGTAGACTCCATCATCCATCCAAGGCAGGAATCCGGTAAGAGAGGGTTCAGTTCCCCTCTGCAAATAACTTTTTTAGAAAATATATTTCCTTCTGATGATCACAGCAATACAAATTAATTGTTGAAATTTTAGGGGGGTGTGGGAAGGAAAAGCACAGAAAGAAAATAAGAATCACCTGTAATTCTAGCACCTGGAAAAAAATATTTTTAATATTTAGGTACACGCTTTCCCACTTTTTTATTTCTCTGTCTATCACACATACACAAACACACATACAAGCACACAATCTTACCACAGTTGGTATCATAGTAGTCACTGAGTGGGGTAACATTTTTTTTTCAGTTAACATCATTTTATAAACATTTTCCAGGGATATGATTCTTTTACATCAGGGCTCACAAACTCAAATATTGATATGATCCAGACAAAGAACATAAATAAGCAGACTCTATATAGCATGACAGGAGGTGGAGGGGACTGTGTTATACTAGAGAGGGTATGCCTTATCTAAGTGTCAAGCCCTCACCAACTCCAGACAATACTTTCCCTTTAGGAATGTGGGTCTAGTGTTGCCAGATACTCCAATTTTAAAAAAAGAGAAATTCAGAATTTTATGTGAAATATCTTGATGTTTAAATGTACCATTGCTGACTTAACCAGTCTCCTTTTTGAAAGGCATATAGTCTTTATTTTCTCCTAGTTTTTCAATACTGTAAGACTGAGATCAACATCTTTTTAAATAAATTTTTGTTTGCCGTATAATTATTTCCTTAGGATAATTCCTAGGAGAATTGCTGGGCCAAATAATGTGCATATTTTAAAAATATTTATGCATTTTGCCAGAATGTTTTCTGAAAAATATATGAGATTTCTCCAGAGGATGAATGTGTCTTTTCCTGTGTCTTTGCTAATTTGGTGGTCAGCAAAACAGTGTCATTGCTTGATTGCATTTACTTGAATATCATAGAAATGGAACTTAAAATATTGAATTTTCCTGACCCACCTGCTACATATCTATTCAGTCTATCACTATTCATTTGACAAGTTAAACATCTACTATGTGCAAGACATTGTTCTTTCTATGTACTGTGGAAGATTGTTGTTGTTGGGTATCAAATAGAGTCAGTTCCAACTCATAGCAACCTAATGTACGACAGAACAAAACACTGCCCAGTCCTGTACCATCCTTACACTAGTTGTTATGTTTGGGCCCATTGTTGCAGCCACTGTGTCAGTCTGTCTCATTGAGTGTCTTCCTCTTTTTTGGTGACCCTTTACTTTACCAAGCATGATGTCTTTCTCCAGGGACTGGTCCCTCCTGATAACATGTCCAAAATACATAAAACAAAGTCTTACCATCCTCACTTCTAAGAAACATTCTGGCTGTACTTCTTCCAAGATAGATTTGTTCATTCTTCTGGCAGTCCATGGTATATTCAATATTCTTTGCCATAATTCAAATGCATCAATTCTTCTTAGGTCTTCCTTATTCTTTGTCCAGCTTTTGCATGCATATGAAGCGACTGAAAATACCATGGCTTGGGTCAGGCGCACCGTAGCCCTCAAAGTGACATCTTTGCTTTTAAACACTTTAAAGAGGTCTTTTGCAGCAAAAGATACAAAGTTTGATTCTACATTCATTTGTGTTCTTGTATACTTTTTACTTCTTCTTATGTCTCCCCCTATCCCAGGCTGCCCACCCCTACCCTCTTCTGGAATTCCAACAAATCACAAACTCCTTGAGTTGCAAAGACAGTGTTTTACTTGTCTTTACTGTAATCCCAGTAGCACCTATTATGTTTTAACCTGTATAAAAATGTGCTTTCTTTTAATCACCTACTAATTTATCTTTCTGGATTTTCATGTATTAGGTTGGCCAGAAGTGAACTACACCTATATTAGTACTCAATCAATATTTAAAAGTAATAATGACAGCCAACTCACTTACCGTGTGTAATGTATCTGGTATTTGGAGAGAAAAAGAGAATCTTGGAATAAATGAGATCATGTGTAAGATGGTAGGGGCCCTGGTGGTGCAGTGGTTAAGCATTTGCTGCTAACCAACAGGTTGGCAGTTTGAATCCACCAACTGCTCATTGGAAACCCTATGGGGCAGTTCTACTCTGTCCCATAGGGTCACTATGAGTCGGAATCGACTCAATGGCAATGGGTTTAGTATTTTGGTAAGATGGTAAAAATTATTTTTTCTGGGTGCCAAGACCATTCAATGGGGAAAAAATAGTCTCTTCAAAAAATGGTGCTAAGACAGATGGATATCCACATGCAAAAGAATGAAGCTGGACCCCTACCTCATGCAATATACAGAAATTAAAATGGATCAACTGCCTAAATATAAGAGCTAAGACTATCATACTGCAAGGTGTGAAATCAGCTTGCAGAAAGCAATTTGGCCTTTGTGCTCAGTTCTTTCTAGCTGTACCAACACCTAAGGCTAGTGAATGGGGCTGACCAGACCAGACCAAGAGGAACCACCGGTGGACCCAATGCTCACTAAGCCTCAAGAGTCACGATATAATCTATCATGGCAATGTGGAGCAGCCTAAAGAGACCTGAGCCGTAAGGCTCAGATGAGCTTCTTGACTGGTGACCATATATGGGAAAGGATAGTGTGTCCCCTTTTGGGACATGGAAGCCCCATGGTGTGACCCCTCTCAGACCTCACCCTATGTGCCTCTTCATTTGTATCCTTTTGGGTTGTAATAAAGTAGTCATAAGTATGCCACATTCTCTGTGAGAGTCTGTGAGTCATTCCAATGAATTAACAAACCCACAAGGGCAGTGACAGCCAGCAGGGGCTGGCATCTGCCTATTTGGCAGTCTGAAGGACTGTGTCCATCTAACTTGTGAGAACTGACCCAACTCTGGGTGGCTAGGGTCAGAGAGAGAGTGCCATATGGATAGCTGGGATGAGGATGGACCAGTGGGAAGGTGAGAACTGGATCCATCCCCACATTTTGGGCATTGGATTCATGCTGATCCTTACTACACAGTTAGTAATAAAGGTATATTTTCCCACTTGGCCCCTTACTTAGTGCACATACTCTTAGAAGAAAACATGGGTAAATCTTACGGCCTTGGATTTGGCAATGGATTCTTAGATATGACACCAAAAGCACAAGTAACAAAAGATAAATTGGACTTTATCAAAATTAAAAAATTTGTGCATCAAAGGATATTATTAAGAAAGTAAAAAAACAACCTACAGCATGGGAAAAAACATTTGCAAATCATACATCTAGTCTCCGGAATACATTAAGAACTGTTACAACTCAATAAGATGAAACCCCAATGAAAAATGAGTAAAGGACTTGAACAGACATTTCTCCAAAGAAGATATACAAATGGCCAATAAGCACGTGAAAATATGTTCAATATCGTTAGTCATTAAAACACATTGCTGTTGAGTTGATTCCAACTCATAGTGACCCATAAAACAGAGTAGAACTGCCCCATAGGGTTTCCAAGGAGCAGCTGGTGGATTTGAACTATCAACCTTTTGGTTAGCAGCCAGGCTCTTAATTTGTATCACTGTGCCAATACAAATCAAAACCACAATGAGGTGCCACTTCACACCCACTAGATTGGCTATAATTTAAAAAAAACAAGTGTTGTGAGGATGTAAGGCCCTTGGGAGGCACAAATGGTTTGTGCTTGACTACTAACCTAAAGGTTGGAGATTTGAACCTACCAAGCAGTGGCACAGAAGAAAGGCCTGGTGATCTTCTCCCATAGAGATTGCAGCCAAGAAAACCCTATGGAGCAGTTCTATCCTGTAACACATGGTGTTTCTATGAGTCAGAATTGACTAATGGCAATGGGTTTAGGTTTTTTTTGTATGTGTGAGGATGTGGAGAAATTGGAACCTTTGTACACTGTTGGTGGGAATTCAGAATGGCTTGACTGCTGTGGAAAACAGTTTGGCAATTCCTCAAAAAGTCAAACGTGTTGTTGTTTGGTGCCATTGAGTCAGTTCCAACTCGTAGCGGCCGTATGTACAACAAAACGAATAACTGCCCTGTCCTGTACCATTCTCACGGTCGTTGCCATGCTTGAGCCCATTGTTGCAGCCACTGTGTCAGTCCATCTTGTTGAGAGTCTTCCTCTTTTTTGCTGACCCTCTACCAAGCATGATGTCCTTCTCCAGGCAATGGTCCCTCCTGATAACATGTCCAAAGTATGTGTGATGAAGTCTTGCCATCCTTGCTTCTAAGGAGCATTCTGGCTGTACTACTTCGAAGACGTATTTGTTCATTCTTCTGGAAGTCCATGGTATATTCAGTATTCTTCATCAACACTATAATTCAGAGGCATCGATTCTTCTTTGGTCTTCCCTATTCATTCTCCAGCTTTCACATGCATATGAGGCGATTGAAAATATCATGGCTTGGGTCAGGTGCACCTTAGTCCTTAAAGTGACATCTTTGCTTTTTAACACTTTAAAGAGGTCTTTTGCAACTGATTTGCCCAATGCAATGGGTTGATTGATTTCTTGACTTCTGCTTCCATGGGCATTGATTGTGGATCCAAGTAAAATGAAATCCTTGACAACTTCAATCTTTTCTCTGTTTATCATGATGTTTCTTACTGGTCCAGTTGTGAGGATTTTTGTTTTCTTTATGTTGAGGTGTTGTCTTAGTCATCTAGTGCTGCTATAACAGAAATACCACAAGTGGGTGGCTTCAACAAAGAGAAATTTATTTCTTTACGGTAAAGTAGGTTAAAAGTCCAAATTCAGGTGTCAGCTTCAGAGGAAGTTTTTCTCTCTCTGTCAGCCTTCTCATCAATGTTCTCCCAGACTAGGAGCTT